ATGTTGAAGATGTCGAACTTACAGCGATCAATAAGTAAAAAAAAAAATCGAATTTGCGCATTTAGATTATTGTTTAATACACATATGTACATACATATGCAATTAGTATAGGCAAAGATACATATGTTCATATGCATAGATTTACATATATGCATCTAAAAGTTTATAGACAAATTTTACAATAAGTTTTATATAACTTTTTTACGTAAACTCTATCAAATTCTTTAAAATTAGCAACTGCATATTTGTTTGACAACTGTTGTTAATTTAAGCTTTAAAAAAGTATTTTTTTTTAATTACATGTGTTAAATATTTACCTGGTTGTTATCCGAATAATAATATAATTAAAATAAAATGCTACATACATAGTGTTTATGCAATATGACTAGAACTGTAGCAAACCGTATGTATTCGATATTGAGTAACGGATACAACCCCTGACTCGAAGTACCATGTGAGGTACAAGTGCTTGTATCAAAAGTAACTTGTAAAGTAGCTATACGAAATATGCGGGTATTGATTGGATTAGTAACGAATACACACGGGTATGCAAATTTTTGTTGCTTTACAGCTCTAATTATGACAATGGCACTGAATTGAACCAGCAAATTAGTCACGAATAAAAGGCAAAAGGACTCCTTTGAACTATGTGTTCTTCTAATAATTTAAAAAATATTATTAATAAACTTCAATGCACAAAAAAATCGAATAGTTGCAAAAAACAACGTTCGGAAATGCGTCATAAAACAATTTTTTTCGAATGCAGAATACGAAAAAAAGCTTTAATCATCAAGTACACCCTGTGAAAAGCAAGCAAGTGCCAGTGTTGCCATTATGATACTTTCGGAGCTAAATTTAGCTCTTAATTTTTCTATTTAGCTCCGAAAATTGGGCTTTAGCTCCTAGCTCTTTTCAAAATTATTTAACACTTTTTTAGCTGCAGAAAATTTTAGGTGTATTTGGCAATATAGTAAAATTAGATATCTGTAATTTCACTGTATAAGTGTTGACTAGCATTTATTTGGCTTTGGTTGCCTCAGGCTATTTCCGATACCCTCATGTTATTCTATTTCGATTAATATTTAGAAAAGTTACATTCCTAATACAAATGGCGCGTAAGGAAATAAAGAATGGGCAAGTACACAAACTGTACCGGGCAGTAATTCGAGCTCCGATAAGCTCAGACGGTGTATTCTCTCTCAGGCAACCACGGTAGAAAAGGAATTCCAAAACTTAAGCGTTGATAAAACTATAAATTTCGAAATGCAGCGGAAAAGCATATATTTGTATCCACAGGAAAATGCAGACTCCACCCTAAACTCTTGAATCCAAGTTAAAGAATTCAAAAATTAATTAGAAGAAGGTCGTTTTATCTGAATTTCGCGGATTTTGTTTTTTACCTAAATAATTTTACCTTAAGGAGAGAAGAAAATAAAACTTTTCAGAAAAATTTT